CCCTCCAAATGGATGTAGACGCTGCCAAGCAGTGGTCGTTGGACTGGCGCCTTCCTCAGAATGATGAAAAGTGCGTCCGTGTGTCGTTTGGAGGGGATTCAGTGAATGCCTTTGTTATGCATGGTGAAAAGGGACCAGAAAACATCGTGAGGATCGATGGCAAAAAAGATTTGGGCATCTGGGTCTCCTCAAGCTTGTCCTTCTCACTACACCATGAGAAATCGGCCCAAAATGCATTCGCCATTTTACGAATGATCCGACGTACCTTCTCCCGTATTACTCGCATGGACTTCTAAATACTCCGTGGGGCCTACGTCAGACCGCTTCTGAAGTACGCCAACCAAGTTGTCTACTGAGGACGCACGAAAGACCTCACCCTCATTGAGCGTGTCCAGCGAGCCGCTACGAGGATATTTGCCGGCCTCAAATCCGTGGGCTCCGAAACGCACCTCGCGATGCTTGATCTCTTCCCCCTGGAGTGTCGTCGCCTCCGAGGGAACCTAATTCTTACTTATGCCCTGTTTGAACAAGGCTTGGCAAACAGGTATTTTACCGTTGACCCAGAAAACACACGGCGGGGACAAGTAAGAAAATTTTCAAGCTCAGAGCACACACATCCATTAGGCAAACTTCTTTCTCTTTTCGGGTAGTAGGTGCGTGAAATGACCTTCCTCTGACGGTTGTTCACGCTCCTTCTGGAACCCAGTTTAAAGCACTATTAGACACTTATCTATGGGAATCCTTGCGCTGGCAAGAATAATGCCCCGCACTGAGAACATAAAGAGCAGTGCTACACCTTTTTTCGCTTGTGCCCTTCAGGTGAACGACAGCCACTGACCGACAAGAACAAGAGACCCGGGAAATTTGGGCGATAGCCTCGATCCTGTGTATCAATCCGTGAATCCGTGAATGTGTTGTTCTCTACGTTTATTTTGCTTTCATCACTTGCTTTCGTCAATTGCATAATCGTTTTCTGTTTGAATAAGAAGTAACACAAAAACGCACAATTGTACAAGTTTCACGCAATACAAACATGGTCACTTGCTTCGACTGTCTCTTCTGATTTCGCTTGCGCCTGCAGCTGCCATTCGCGAGTCTCAAGTGCTAATTCTGGTATCAAAACTGTTCAGACCATCTTCAAAATCTGTTTTATGTGGGAACTGTTCAGAAGAAGACCTTTGGACCACCATGATTGGATTATTGTTTATTCGCTTACCTGGGTCAACGACGAACCGTTTTAAAGAAAACAATTATTAGTGATTCTGATTCATTTGACCTGTTCATTATTGTATACCCAATCTAGCGTTATTTTCATTTCTTTACCACACACTCCTGGTAAAGTAACCTGTTCGGTAGCCAGACCACTACACATCGCCCTATCAGATAAAATGTCTTTCCAGCAACCAATACCTCGATGGGCGTTGGTTGCTTCATATCACTGGGTCGAAGAAGTCCTAGAAGTAACTACAGAAATTTAGTCTTGAGCACTTTGTTTTGTGGCGTCAATCGAAGGCTTTACCTTAGGTCAAAACGTTTTAAAACAGCTGTTCAAAACTAACCAAGACAAAACCCTGGAGTGAGCTGTTTCATGAACTTACACTTCGCGGCGAAAAGGCGCCTTCTTATGGAAGCGTTGATCCCAAACTTCCGTACCTACGTTGTGTGTCCTCACCTGTTGTCCTTGGGTGCAAGTTAAAGGATGATGCAAATAAAACACTTCTGAAAAATGGGTATGTTGGAACTACTTTCATGCTTGATGGTAAGCAACCATGCACTTTCAGGCACCTTCCCTAGCAAACGGACGGTCACCTAGCAACCACCCTTGCAGCTGTGTTGATGAATTCAATGCAGTACTCAACTCTCGCTCGTGTAACCAGTTGGCATCATAACGTAAACACTGTAAAGCACCTAAACTCCACGGACATCAGAAAGAAATATGTGATCATATCTTCATGGTCTGGTGACATGGAACAGCCGGGCGCTATTATCCTTTTTTCCGGCTACTTTGTACATTTCCGAGGTTATCTGACATCATTTAAAACGATGCCGTTTCCAGGCTCACCACTGGAGGAACATTCCTCTTAGCAAGCAAAACGAAAAATGGTACATTTGTGTATATTCCGGCCAACATGGCCACGTATACCTGGATGATAACAAATTGAACGTGGCTCGGATGCTGGAACGATCGCTATCCCGGGGGCATTGAAAACTTGCCGCCCAAGTTTGATACGTACAAGAGAGCGCAGGTGTTCTGTGGGAAGTCAAATTGCAATGTTTTACGTGGAAGCCGGCAGTAGACTATACCTCGGGCAAGGCCAGCCGTTCAAAAAACACCTATGTTTGTTTTCGCCTATTCTCAGCTGTGGCCGTGATGTTTCGTTTGATTTTGGACTGCCCAACAAGAGACGCGTTTGAAAAAGCGTTCGCTTCGAAGTTGCACCTACTAAAAGCTTGTCGAATGCTTGTGACAAAGCCAAGACGAAAAATGTTACCGCAGAAGGCGTCCTGCAACCGGTTTTGGAAAGCTTACCTTAGGATCTTGCTGTCACCGGAAGTCACGACTAATTGGCACTTAAGGCCACACCAGGGCCGACTTAAAGTGGTAGAGACAGCCCTAATTCTCCTGCCGAATTCGCCGTGAGACGTCTCTAAAGGAAGAGGGCTCTTGAAAAGAAGGCAAGGTGATATGGGATGTTTGCGGATTTGTGTTAAAAGATGGCCTCCCAGGATGCTTTAACAACGTCTAGGGTGAATGGCATCAAAGTGATGTTGCACGGTGGTGAAGGTAATGACAGTCTGGCGGCTTCAAGCGCAGCTGTTTGTTGGTAAAGAGCTGCGACCTCCGCCCAATCAGTTTGTCAGAAAACGCGTAGGTGGATGAACTGGGTTAAGGAAAGTAGGTGTAAAACGGTGGCAGCAAACTTCCGCGCTTTTGAATTAGGATATGGAGCCTATTGTTGTCCATTAGAAATAAACCCAAGCTATTTTGGGCAAAATGGTGGGGTTCTCAGAGTTGCGACTTTGCGGGATGTTGGTCTAATACGTTTGCACCTTTTGGTAATATACTGCTCACGCTAGTTTGTTGAATTGCGCGAAATTTTAAGATCAACGGGCGCCACCGAATTGCATTTTATCTCCAGTTTACGCGGAATAAAACTTAAACATATCGTAGCGTTCTGCAGTGTTCTTTGCATCTACAGAATAACCGTTGCGAATTCTACCCAGAAAAGCCGTAGAATAACGTTTGCTTGTGTAACACCTCTCACACTTAACAAATTAGATGAACTTGTTCGGCAAACGTTGGCACAAAGCCACTTCTTAGGAAACTCGCTGTGCGTTCAGTATAGCGATGAAAGTTGATTCAACGCGCTGTGCATTTTGGATGACCTCCATTCTCCGGTATCCACCACTAGTCAGTAGCGCTACGAAATAACAGCATGTTAGGCAACAGCGCAGCAATATCTTTCTCAATGAAATTTTAATCGCGCTCCTTAGTTAGAATTGGTCATCCAGCCCAGCTGCACAGGCGGAAAATGAGGCCACCCAATACCGAGCATCATGTTAACAGCACGCACTGTTGCTGCCTAGGGTACTTCGCAGTTAGGCCCGTGCCTATTAGTGGAGTTGTCAATGAAGCTTCAGCTGTACGCGGTAACCTAATCCACTGGCTGTCGACGGCCCGTCATGCTCATAACCGTACGCGTTGTCGCTCATCTTTTCCAGTATCTATGTAAAACATTGAAGATGGGGTTTCAATTATGGGTGATGGCCTAATCCAACGGCCAACGGAGGTCCATCACATCCATATCGTCACTAAAAATGCTCCTCCTCATTCGTCAACATTTGTTTTGGGTGACTTCAACCTACCGGATATCTTCTGGTCTCCCACTATGTGACCTACACGTCACGCTTCGCTGCTTGCCCTAATACGTATTGTGGGTTGTTCCCCACTATGTATCTTTACCCGTGCCCACATAACTTAGCCATAATATTCTCAAATATGAGTCACCTGTCTATAACCTCATTCGATCTGTGCTACTCAGGAAGCGGCCGCTACGTCGTTCCGTGTGATGCGATCAGTTTTGGCGCAACCGCTCTTCTGAGCCCTTCTATCTTTCACTCCCGTCTCCAGATATTTTGACGGCCTTTTCATTCTTTCTGGTCTCCTGGGACTGGAGCAATTTCTTTCTTTCAACAAACAACGCAGTTGCGACATGTACCAAAACCTAGTAACCTCTTTCTACCTGGCTTCTCCCAATAAAAGCTTTCGCCTTGGTAACTGTCGCCATGAAAATTTACTAAAAATCTTGGATGCTAAAATACGCCGGGCTTGCGTAGAATATCAGAAATATCGGGATTTCTCAATAATACTCCTCATCACCGAGCTTTCAACTGAATGAGAGCTCTTACGGGTATCACTCGAATGCTGCGGAGAAAGCGCAACTTTCGGGGACCCTTCTTGCTGTAAATTACTCAGCGACACATTCCGTGGGTGATGTATCTCAAGCAGTCACTCGGTTACTTGTCGGCATTAGTAGTTTTACTGCCAATCATGTCAATATAGCCGACCACCTGGACATTTACTTTGCCAGCCGATACTTACCCATTCCCCCCACACCAAAAATCCACAATCCCTGTCGCACATTTCACACCTTCACTACAGAGTAATCACACGTCTCTTAGCAATGTGACCATCTCCCTGGCTAATGTATGGGCCCTCAAATCGTCCTTCGTGCCAGGAGGCATGGAGGAGATGTCATGTCATCGTGTGCCTTGAGACATGGGGATCAGTATGTCGAAATATTTGTCCTAAGTCTGTTTAATCATTTTTGTCTCCCTCACGGTGAAAAGCACCTGTTGTCTTCCTTCACTTTAAACCAGGATCCAGGATCCATCATACGTTTCCTTTGACGCGAACCTTTGAACGTCTGGTCAAAGGCCCATTGATGAGGTTCTTCCCACGTACAATTGCCATAGATAACCAACAGTATTGATTCCTGTTCCAGATATCCGTCAGTGGCTGCCAGTTCCACTGGCAGCACTGAATTCTTATTTCAGCGGTTCACCTCGCACTTATCTGAGAGGGCACAGGTGACACAAATCGGTGGCAAACAGCCATTTCCATCATCAATCACCAGTAGAACCATTCAAGGGAGAGTGCTCGGAAGCATCCACGTCCTGCTGTGTATCGCGCCATCGCTGCACTGTCCCACGGTAAACACTTCCTTTTTGTGGAAGATCTAAGAATCGCTCACACATTTCCTCCCGCTGCTAAAACTCTGCCTTTTGCCGAATCCAACATGACTTAGAATCCCTGACTCACTGGTCAATTGCCTGCAGCCCAGGCTTCTCTCCTTCCAAGTTCCATATAACTACCTGCCACTACTCCTTCCCAGCTGATACGCTCATAATTGACGGAAACCCTGTCACTCATTCCACGGAGATCAAAGACCTTGGTCTCAGACACACTTGTACGTTCAGCTCTCCTCACCAAGTCCAATACGAAGTTGTCCGGGCACGCAGGTTCTGCCTTCTTAGACTACTCTTTCTGCTCTATCCAATGAGTGATGATTCGTCTTGCCTGGCCACCACCAAAGCAAACCAAACGAAAGTATGATTTTTCATACCTGAGGACGTGCTAAACACCACGCAACCCATTGGGAACAGCAACAACTAACGCTACGGTACGCGTCTGCTTGGCTTGGTAGCTCACACTCCGTCATCGTTCAGCCTTATTCAGATGCTCTGGGAAGCTCCGTTCTGTTCCTGTTGTGCCATTGTTAGACGCCTCTGCATTTACCGTCTTCCGCGACCTGCCCCTTCCAGTGTCTGTTTGCAGTTTACTTGTTCCAAATGACTGAATTGTTTTACTGACATGCTTCCCCCGACCAGACAAAATATCCGGTAGCTAGAGGTTTTTATTAATTCATAAGTCGTAAGTACGACTGCTTGTGGCACGCCACACTGCCGATCTAGTAGCATGCAAGAAGGATGAAAAACATTTGTTGTGGTTGGTTGCTCGCTTGCGTCGTACTTGGTGGTCTCGTATACTCGCCATCCCTCCAGTAGCTCCGGTGCTTCGCCCATACACGGTGGTTTTTGAGCATGGTATTCTATTCAGGAAATCCATGAAAGGGTTCTGTTATTTTCTGTTTGTCGCTGCCGGGCTGGACTCGTACCGGTTGTGTCATTCAACTGATTACGCTTTAAACCGCAGACGGTAAGAACTGACATTTTGTCTGCTAAAAAAGAATTTTGCACAAGGTAGAATGGATGGACTGAAGACACCGCAATGTCTACGGCTTACATCTGTGTGCAAAGCAGTGGCTGTCTTCGTCATACCTGGGGTTGCATCGCACCAAATAACACTTCGTTAATCAAACAAAACACACCTACCTATCTACTGTTCCCAGGCGTAGAGGCCTACAGTGAGAAATATGCACACATATACGACGAGCTCCCCAGTATTCCAGTGCCGGTCTACAATACTATCAACTGAAGATTTTATAAGCCGTGCATCACTTGTTATTGTGAACCGATAGCAGCGTGTCTGGGATTGGTGATCATTTCTCTTGCATTCACTTTCTTTCCTAGCTTATGATAGTCCAACTCATATAATAAAGTTCTGGTAAGCTAGTCTACCCTCTTGGAAGTCCACTCCCGTCAGTCCTTATACGCCTGAGTTCCCTAACCACACCACGTCTCTGCGTGCTTATACAGGCTTACTCTTAAACCCTCGTACCTTAATATCATACATTAGCAAACACAACTCCCGCTTGACCGATAGCCTACCAACTACAAATCCACCCTACACCCTGTCGTGCTTATTCGCTCGTTGTCATCAACATAATTGTGGTTAAAGCTAAGCATTTTCTTACTATCAGTGCACAGTATCGTATCTTATATCTTCTTTAACTCTCCGGGCCTTACTAATCTCGTTCCCTTTTTTCGTCTTACCAAGCTTTGGTCTTTGGCGACACCTTGTTTGGACGCCCTGTTTGGCTGTTATCCACTCCACCTTGCCAGCATTCTGCTCCCACAGTTATCTCCAGTCCGGCAAAATGACACATGCAAGCTTACGTTGGCTTCCTTCTATCTCTTCGGAGTTCCTTGGCCGGCCTGAAAAATCTCGCTGCCTAAGTAATTGCACGTCCTAGCCTAATGACCTTAGAAAGAACGTCCCGTAAGGGGGTGTCCGAAAACTGAAGTATGTCAGGCTGATGATGGTAGGGCACCGCCATACACACTTTGAGGGTGCACCCGCAATTATTCTTCACCGCACCATATCGCTCACTCGTTTAATCAACGGCAAGTATGGACAAAACAATCATCCGGCCCCAGACGCCACCGGGACGTGTTTCTTTCACATCTACCGAACCTTTCGACCAGATTTGACAATTCCTTTGGGCTTTCAGTCTGCGCTCCGCATTCAGCTAATAATTTCCACTGTCGTTCGTGTTCTGGCTTGTGGGTTGTCAGCAACGCACTCTTCCGGGGAACGTTTAGTCCCAACTTCACCATAGCAGCGACACCAGTGGATCCTACAGCTTCGACGTACACTATTATTCTGAGATTCCTGCTACTATTTATCTACATCACTAATCCCTCCACTTCATCAACAACACTTACTCTTTTCATGATCCTGGACACAATCTCAACAGTCTAGGGCCATGGGGTCTCATAATTGGTTTAAGGTTTCAAATGGCTGTCCGGATAACTCCAACTCTTCTGCGTCACCAGATCGATTGTTCGGGTTCCTGGATTTCCAAAATTGGCAGTCTGATGGGATATCACCACCTTCGCCGTACTTCATTTTATTTTTGCCTGCCACCTTTGGATTCTAACGTTCCCATCGGATAATGCCGCCGAGCCTTGGACGAGCACCTAAAAATTCTCTAAAACCGCAGTTTTAAGTAAGGAATCTTTAACGTAAAATTTTAGTGTTTGGTGGTATATATCCGGGCTCCTAAAGTTCTCAAACGCGGCTGCAGTTTTATTAGAAGTTGTTTAAGCGAACTCGGAGGTCACAGAGGGCGCAAATTTCGTATTTTATTAGCTGCCGTTGTGTTTTGCGCATTCTCTCTGTGAAAACGAGTGACATTTTGTGGAAAAGCCGAATTCTTCAGATGTTTTCTTCTGCCTTCAATTTGCAAATAATCTCAAAATTACATAGGCAATAACCACGCCTTTCACGTCATTACAAACTCAAAATAGAGCGGTTATTCGCGTCCGGTAGAATTCTTCCATCGTTGTGGCAAGAGTCCTGCGGAAGCAAAGGAATTTGTCGCAGCTGGTGATGGTCAACACACATTAATTCTGGCGCAAGACAAGGTTTTATCTTCACTGATATACGGAGCTACCAACAGTACTGTTGAATGAACCATTGTTTTTGTGGGTAGAACAAGTAGACGACACAGTTAGGTGACCAGATCTTTCGAGTCCTTGCACAAATTAATCGGGCTGAGACGGCCATTTGCATTTACGCAAAGATTTTCTGTGAAACATCCTAGATATGATGAGTACAAGGAAGCCATCGGACTGGGCTCGGTAGTCGCGGTGTCGTCATCGCGACGCTGTACATGTGTTCGTGGACAGCCCCGTACATGAACATCTTGGATGAGCCGTTCAGGGTTATCATTGTAGTTGGGATGCCCTTGGGTTAATCGAGGGCTCACCGTGTATCATTGCAGCCACACAAACGAGGTGACACGATGGTCGTGTTTACATTGGACGCTCAATTGGTGTGTCAAAAAGGTCCGCTAGAAAGCACTTTGTTGTGAATTAAAATGCCGTCCAAAGTATTGGACAGTCAGAAGTTGTTACTATTCTCAACTGCTTCAATGATAAGATACACTGCTCAATTTCAAATACGGTGATCGATACCTAGATGCAGATAGCAAGTACGCGTTCGGTGCAAATTGGTGTTGGAATATGTGGTTGAGGGAGATGCGTTGACTGGATTGTACGCGACCAAGGTATCTCGAAGCTTGCAGGTGGCAGCAAGTACAGCTATTAGTATTCGGGCCGTCGCTGACCATCGGACTGGGCTACTGGACACAGTTGAGGCCTCATACTCGGCGTTGCACGTGGACACAGGCCTGGCGATTACGATGAGTTTCCAGTGTAGGCGATGTCGACTACAGTTACGTGTATGACGGCTGCCGCTGGCCGCTAGATTAGTATATAACGCATTGTTGGAACCTCATATTTATCGGCCTGCAAAGAAACGGGTTTTGGTGTTTAGTATATGCGGCAGGCATAAGCGTGAGCATCCAGAGTTGTGGGTTTTGACGGGCAAACTTTGACCGTTAGATTGGGATACCGTGCATTGTTGGGACCTGATAACCTGTGTCGCACATAGGCACTGGGCTAGCAGTCTCAAAATTTAGCCAAGGTAGGCGATAACACGTACTGTGGTCATTATGGAGTACGTCGTTCGCCGCTGGATTAGGCTTGTGTGCATAGTTTTGGCTTCGTATTTATTGATTGGCTTAAATGCTGGCCTGCGACAACGCGTGCGGTTACCGGTATGGCAAATAAGGTTGGATTTGGTAACCAGCTGATTAGCGGCGCACATTTACACGAACCTAATTAGCCCAGTAACGTGACATTGAGTACAACAACGCGTATGACAGGCCGTAAGCTCAGGCTACTACGCATAATTTAGGCTTCATTTTTACCGGCCCACATGGATCCCGGTATGATGTTTACTATAGGTAGCAAAGATAAGCAATAATGCGTATGGGTATGAGAGACGCCCACATGGTCCCGGCATGATGTTTACTATAGGTAGCAAAGATAAGCAATAATGCGTATGGGTATGAGAGACCGTCTCTGGCCGTCAGACTGAGCCTCCGTGCATATGTGAGACCCCATAATCAGCGTCGTACAAAGACACGGACCAGGTATGTAAGATAAGTAGTCGAGGTAAATGACAACGGATACCGCTAGTTTGGTGACCGCTTATGGCCGTCACCATCCATAGAACGTCATACGCCAAATAGGAATGATGTCATTGTGCTGGTAATTTGCTTTCAGCTATCTCATGACGCTGCATTCTCTACAGGCTAGTTAGGCATATCTGTGAAAGAATCATCCACAGATGGCGCTTGCATTGCCACTGCATATTTCATACTGTTGTCTAACAAAGTTGTGCTTGATGGAAGCTCAGCTCTAGGAGAAATTGTTTCGTGGCGAATGTTGCTGAACAAAATCATATCATTCGTCCAATTTGAGGTGTGCAACGCAGGCAAACATCAATGAGAGATTTCCCAGTGTGGAGCATGGGATATTCTGTGGGCGTTGTTCTATTCTCAATGAACACTGAATAAGGCAAAAATAAACTGAAGTGTGATTTCGTGCTTTATCTCGCGTAAGAGGGTAACAAAATGCAAATCAGTGATGGCCAGTGACCTTAAAATTTCTCTCGCTTAAACAAAATGCCATGGGCAACGTGTCGTCGAATGGGGAAAATATATTAGACTAACTCTGCGTAAAATTCGCAGTTTCAAATATCCTGTAGTTTTGGTAAAAATAATTTCGGTGTGCTTCTGATGCGCGGCACAGTAAGCAGTATCCGACGGGCGGGCAAAACTAAAACAAGGAGGGGCGAAACAAACAGTATTCAGCCTGACACATGACAAGAAAAATGCAAGTCCTGGAAAATTAGGAACTAGATCAGCGGCTCAAGTGTAGGAGCAGGGTTGGTGTGAACAAGCGGGTCTATCTGAACCAAAACATAGAAGTTCCGCCGAGGGGCTTTCATTGTTTGCACAAAGGAATGGAATTGTCGAAAGCTATCTTCGCAGCTTCGTTTGTCCTTAAAAATGCCCCCATGTTGAATGACTGCCTTTCCGGTTAACAATTTTGAGGGACTTCCCTTGTCTGGACTGATGTAACTGAGCTCAGGTACAGTTGGAAAAGACACTTCTATTTTCCGTTTTCCTTGTCGCTCAAATCCCTTTTACCGCTTCTGTCATACTATTTTGCACTAAAGCCCCGGTCAGCTATAAATTTGTTTTATTGCATCAGGTTCCGACCTGGTTTGGTTGCCTTACGTCACTGACGTTAAGAGTTTTGTGCAAGCCATAACCTAGTTATTGTCAAAAGGGGTCTTCACCTTCATAAGTGGATGAGCAGTATTCCCGATGTACTGTATAGGCTTTCGCCATCTGAACAAATGGACTATGTAATGGAAATGTTTCCAAAGATGATAAATACACAGCAAGCGTTGGGTATTGAATTAGATCCATCTCCTGACTTCCCTTGCCTTCGATTTCCTATTCCCACTAACACGAATAGGAATCATTGCAAATGTTCGTTTGCCTTTCGGTCCACTAGGATTGGTAGCCTCTCTATGCTTAACCGCAAAGCAGCTCCCACAAGAACTTTGTAAGGCCAGTTTTGGTTAGAACACTTCTATCAGTGAAGATCATTCAATCCGATGATATTCATAACTGGACCTGGTTAAGTCGACTGGAGTTGTGCGGTATCCGAGATGCCTGTCCCCTGGTGATGGTAACCCTGATTCCGATGTATTCTCAGACGCGTCAGAAACAGGTTATGGCGTTGCTTCATACGCACGTTTTGTGTCGAACGGTGGTCGGGTGGCATGCCGCTTGATCTTCGGAAAATTCAGAGTCGCTCCGTTCAAACCGTAACCGTTCCGAGGTTAGAACTTGCTGTCACCGCATTTGCAGCCAGGACCCACAAGCTACTTGTTTGTAGTTTGCCTAAATTCTCCTCCACGGACACTCTCTGGACAGACTCACAAAGGTGCTTTATTACATCAATAATTACTCCACAAGATTTTGTACCTTTTTGGCCAATCAGCTAGCCATCAGCCAAACGAAACACCTTTCAGAACGGATGGGAGAGCTTGAAATCATCCCAAAACCCTGCCGACCTAGAATGAATCCAGGGGCAGTGAAAGATTGGACGACTTGAGTCGTTTGATGTACGGACCAGCGTTTGTCAACGAATCAAGGATTACTGTGCCATCATTGATCCCTGATCAGATACCCGATGGCGTAGCGCTGAAAACGATTCGAGCAACTGTCAGCGTTATTTCCACTCAAAATGTTCCTGAGCGTTTGTTTGTCCAATGGTCTAGCTCGTTTAGGCTGTTGTAAGCCGCTGCGTGTTTGGTGCGCTTCGTAAGCTACCATTTGCACAAATTTGGAAGATCATTCGTCATGTCTATTCCTGGTCATACCCCAGTGAAAAACTGACAGAATCTGGAATGGTCTATATCCGACAGGTCCAAGCAGAAGTATATAGCAATAAATTGAGTCGTTTCAAATCGGATAATCAATCGAAGCCGACTAGGGTCTCTGTGCTGCGTATGCTTTTTCCCATCCTTCTTGCACAAAAACTGGACACTATAGGCTGGTATGTATGCTCCCTCGGGATTTAGTTTAGAAAGTTTCATCTGCACAGAATCCACGCCATAGTAACATATAGCAAAAGTGATACGATTGTGAGCAGGAATCTGGAACTGAAGCCTCATTAAGCGGGCGCTTTGGGAACAGCAACCAAATTATTGAGTGAGCAGCTTTCCTGGTCATCCGGGAGTGGTCAGTGCATATCAGCTACACCAATACATTCATCTTAGCCTAAAAAGCCTACATTTGTCTAAAACGAACCGTGTGCCCAATCCAGTGTCGATATGGCGTCGGTGGTTACTCTTGCTTTAATCGTGAACGGTCCCATTAAAGCCGTTATATCCCCTCAAACAGCAATGCAGCCACACACGACAGGCTTGCAGTTAGTCATTCGAGTGCAGTGCCTCAGTGTGTGACACATTCTGCCATGATAGTTAGAACAACATTTTGTAGACGTTTTGCACAACTTAGAACCAAACATCAAAGACACCCCTTACCATTTCTTGACGCAACCCACTTCTTGCCCTACCGGCTACATGCAGTTTTGTGCAATCGCTGATTTTTTTGCGCGAGCGAACGCGGCTGCAGATCTAGCAAAAAGGCCACGAAGGGTAGCAGAAAACAAGTGAAGAATTCATCCCATACTTAGGTGAGGCTTAAGGCGGAACTCACCGCAAGACAGCTGGGTTAAGCTTAAGTCAGTTATCGGAGGTTACTACAAGTAAGGGAAAAAACTCCCAACACAGCAGCAACTTCGCCTATAGTAGGACGGGAAGCCACATATGTTCAAAGCGGACGTTACCGCCAAGTTGTCATGGCCTACAAAGGGAAACTGGTCGTTTATGTTCATTGCCAACTGGTGAGTAAAATGCTACCGGGCATAACCATACTGTTGGAGTCGGAGTAAAAGTATGACTGTTGGGGTTTGCAGGTGCAGGGGATTAAAAGATACTGTACGCTCGTTGAGAACTAAGGAGCGACAAACCGTTTTCGAACGTCAAGTGGCCATTTGCATTCTGGTCAACGTTATAGACGCCGGAGTTTCTATCCGTCTCCACAGTTTTAAAGTAGGGGAAAACAACCCTTCATTTCAAGGTAACCCCTAGAAGCCGATCTCTGGCAGCACTTGGTCGCACAGTGATATCGGTCCTACTCGACAGTTCGCTTCTTTGTTCAAGGGCAATAAAGTGGGAAGACGTTGAACATTGTAAATGGTAATGTTCTAAAACTAATGTGATCTTATAAAACGTGCGCAAAAGTGGTAGACACAAACAGCATACTTATGGCCCAAGCATGCGCATGACGTGCATGTAAGCTGAAAGAAGAATGCGGCGAATGGTCATCTAAAGAGAAACAATTGATCGGTCAACACTAAAACTTATCAGCAGCTTACGGCACTGACAATGGCCACGGATGACTACAGATTCGCCCACGTTGCCCAATAGGAAAACCAATGAGGCTCATCACATGGTGCTGGAAAAAGGGTCCCACAGGCCCATGGAATAATTGTTAGTCGGTTTATACGGCTTTTCGTTGCTCAAACTGTCGGCGCATTCTAAACCACACAGCCAGTCTGGGCTTGTCCACACCGCAACAACTCACATCTCTATTTCCTGATAAGCTGACTTTTAATAAAAACGAATTAGCGTGAATTTTGTCCCGTGCGATCTCTTAAAGCGATTGGACATGATTTTGTATGGCACCATATTGGGTCAGTGGGAGACCGGATTTTGCCTCGGTCCGGTATCACTTTAGTTAGTCTCACCCATGCACAACTGGTAAGCCACAATATATTTTTTGGTTGCTTCCTCTCGAAACCACGTCATAAGCGGGACTTTTTATGGGTGACCCTTTGGACTTACACCAGGTTAGCATCTGTACACTTTTCGTCGACTGGCCTCACTTGCAGATGACGTAAGGCGCGGCATGGAGACCCACAGAATCTCAGGTGACGTTCAATACATACATATACATACAATATATATATATATATGCAGAGAGCGCTCCCGATGATCCGAGTGTACGAATCGGTGGCTCTCAACTCAGGTGTTCATTTATTTTACCAGCACTTCGCCACTGGACTCAACGTCCGTTGGGCTCGCCACACATGCGTAATTTCCTACACCGTATTGAGTAGACCTGGTGATTTTGAGTTTGTTCAGGAGGACTAATAAGGCACAACGCCTCCCGAAATGGCACAACTCAGATATAATTTTATAGTTGCTATTGATGTCTTGTCTGTTGAGTTTTGTTTGTCTACATCGTCTAATATGATCAAGGCCATAAGGAACTCCGTACGCTTATTAACAGTTGGATACGAACACGGTAGTTTATCCTGTGTGGGAATAGAGATAGTGGATTGAGAAATAATGTCAAATGTGCTGCGTCAGTTGACGGCCTCATCCGCTTTCTTGATACTGCACGAAAATTTGGAAAAATGGCTCACGCTTTATGACGTAGGATGTAGTTTTATTTTTACGTTCCATTTAGAAGAACACTTGTGATGAAAATATTGCCACCGGTTGTGAACTCATTGAACTCAATGCACGATTGCAAGGACAGTTGTTTAGGCTTCTAAGTATCTGCGCGTCTGAAGGTACGTTCATGAAATCTTGTATTTCATGTATGGTCTCATACGAGAACGTGGCTTCTTCGGTTGAACCATTCAGATTTTTAGCCGTATACAATGTGGTCACCCAAATTCTTTTAGGGATGCTCTTCTTGCCTTATTCTAATTTGTTATGAAATCCTGTTGTCAGTGTCTGCAACAAATATCTGTAACCCCCTGAGATTATTCCTTAGTTTGTTTCGGCCGACGTGGTTGAATCTTTCACTAATGTTTCATGGATTCACAGATTAGTGCACAGGAACGAGGCCTTCGCCCAAGTTTCCAGAGTCAGTTTTGTTTGATGATTCCTCTAAAACACTACTATGCTCACTGTGGTACTAGTACGGATGTGATGACAAAACTGAATCTAATTAGGTGCACTGTTTGTCTTAAGTATTTCAAGCTAAGCTGTATAAGGTTTCGAGCGCCATTAATGAGAGCACAGCCACTCAGGACAACGAAACTGATACACTTGTGACGGATCCCTGCTAATTAACAGCGGTTCCCAATCACAAGGCTTTGTGCATAGTTTAACAGGTGTTTTAAGCCAATATAAATTCTAGTTCAGAAAAGAAACTGGATATTGTTCGTTTGGCCCAGGT